GGCACACACTCACGTGCTCACACACATTCCCACATGCACACAACTCTGTTTAAAAAATCATTTTATCGGGGACCTGTACAGCTCTTATCACAAATCCACACACACATCCGTGGTGTCAAGCACATTTGTACATATGTTGCCATCATCTTCAGAACACTTTCTTTCTACTTGAGTGAGCTCTTGGTATCAGCTCATCCCACCCCACCCCCCATGAACCCTTGGTAATTTATAAAACAATTTTTTTCATGTCTTACACTGACCGCTGTCTCCCTTCACCTACTTCTCTGTTATCTGTCCCCCTGGGAGGGGATTATATGTAAATCATCCTGATCAGTTCCCATGCACGCAACTCTTGTAGCTCCACTCTGCCAAGTCCATCGCTACACTCCGACACGGCAGGCAGGTGACCTCAATGGCACTAGAACTGGGCCAGCAGCAGCCGGCCCAAAGGGCTGGGCTTCCCTGGACAGGCAACTTCCAGGTTCATGGACAGAAAGGCCCTGGGCCATTTATGGAAAAAAATTATTTAAAAAAACGAAAGAAAGCCAAGCAGGCCCTGGGCCTCGTCCTTCAATGCTGCAGGTCTCAGGAGGAGGATGTGGAACCCAGGGGCTCCCCAGCCTGCATTAGCACTCATGCCCAAGACCCCCAAACACTCCTGCCCCGGGCACCTCCCAGGACGGAGCCTGGCTTTCTTGGAGCCTCTCCTCCGGAATGTGTGTGAGCGTGAATGTGTGTGCAGTTTGGGTGCACAGGTGTGAGTGATTATATGTGTGTGTGTGTATGACTATACACGTGTGAATGTTTGGGAGCATGTGAAAGTGTGTGAATATACATGTGAATGAGTATGTGTGGGCTGGGGTGTGTGTGACTGCACGTGTGTGAGTGAGGGTGCGAATGTGACTCTATGAATAAAGATATGAATGAGTGTATGTGTGACCGTGTGGTATGCATGAGTACACATGTGTGAGTGTGCTTGCATGTGAACATATGGTGAGTGAGTGTGCGTGTGTGTGAGTGTGTAGGGGCCACCAGAAGGAGCAAGAGGACTTACTGTGACCCTCCCTCCGTCTCCCACCACTTCTAGAAAATCCTTGAGATGCGGGTCGACATGCTGGAGAAGCAGATCAAAGACCGGGACAACTTCCTGGTAAGGTGGAAAGGTCCCCCCACCCGCCCCCGCAAGGGGACTTGGGAAGGACGATTGACCCAGCCTGGCCCCCTCAGAAGGAGCTCCTCAAGACCCCACTCTGGATGCCTTTGTCTTCTGGAGGCAGGGTTAGGGGCACCTCTGGCCTCTTGAGGCACCATTCCTGGGCCAGGGAGACCTCTTCCCAACTGGGGTCCATATGGGATTGACCAAAGGTCACCCCAGACTTGCTGGCCACTTGAAGGACTGTAGTATTAAATTTGG